TGCCTGCCTGCCTGCCTGCCGCCCCGAAGCTGAGCCAGAGGCGGGAATTCTCCTCCTGGCTGGTGAGTATTTGTAGCTCCGTCCAGGTCAGGGGACATTGCAGGGCAGGCCTGGGCGTGGGATGGAGACAGGGTCCGGCCCAGCCTTGCGGGCCGGCGCCTCCCGTAGCCCCCTAGCTAGCTCTGCAACAGCAGTTCTCAACCTGGGGGTCAAACGACCCTCTCCCCGGCGTCGCCCGATTCCGAACCAAAGCAAAATGACAGTGATGAAGGCGCAACGAAAATGATTTTGTGGCCAGGGGGTCACCACCACATGAGGAGCTGTCTGAGGAAGGCTGAGAACTGCTGGTCTGCCTAGAAGGTAGACTGGACCCCACATAGTAAGGCCGGGAGTTTGGGGGCTGGAAATAATGCTTGAAAAATCAAGCCTTAGGGGAAGTTGGCCCTGCCTTAGGGACCCCAGCACTGCCCACGCTAGCACCCAGGGAGGAAGCTGGGGAGTGGGGACAGGGCTTAGACAGCAGGCTGTTCGGTCCTCAGAACCTAAGGGCCTTGGAAGTGCCTCCCCAGAGGGAGCTCCAATCCTCCTGGGGAACTGCCCTGCAGGTGGTATTGGGGCAACCTCCTCAGGAGGAAGCCTGGCCCAGGCCCAGGGCTGTGGGAAATTAGATAAGGCAGGAAAGGGCTCCCAGGGCTTTGACTGCCCCCGAGCCGGTCTTCCATTTCCACAGACTGGATGGTTCTCTAAAACCCCAGCCAAGGCCGTGGTGGCCCAGAAAACGCCCATCAAGGTGGAGCTGGTGGCTGGTACCACGTACAGGTGGTGTGTGTGTGGTCGCAGCAAAAAGCAGGTGAGAGGCCTCAACTCCCCCCTTCCCTACAGACATGCAATAGCCCCGAGTTGAGGACAATATGGTTGTTTCCTGAGAGCCTCAAGATAGCCCTTGTCTCCCTTCAGTATCTGGGAGACCAACAAGGAAGAGGGAGTGGAGGTGAAAAAGGCCAACACCACTCCATGAGTCCCCAGCCAGACTCCCCACGCAGACTGGCAGAGCCCAAGCTCTGGCCCACAGCTCCTAGGCTCCTAACTCAGGCACCACTGTGGCCCACTTTGTCTCTCACTCCATGTTCCCTCTTCCAGGAGGCATCTGGACTTTCTGTGGAGGCCCTCGCTTCCCAGCCTTCCCCGGCCCTTCTCCCTCCCAGTCCTCTCCCAAAAAGCCCTTCCCTTTCTGGGCTTCCTTCGGGTCATCTGTTGAGCCCGCCATCCTCTCTCCACCTGCTTCCTAGTACACTGCGTCTCCATTCTGCCTCTCCAGCTCCATTTCTTCCTGAGCTGGACTTTGAACTGTGAGCCTCTCCGCCGCCTCAAGGTATCCGAAGCCCAGTCACTAATTGCCACGATTTTGAGGCGCTTCTCCTAAGGGTGGGACGGGGCTGAAGGAACCCGCCTCCAGGAGTCTGGCCCAGCGTGGGGAGGCGGAGGACTCAGACGGGGTCCGCCAATTTGTTGGTGCACTTCAGTCTCCCAATCCCTCTCCTCCCGCCCCACCCTGACTCGCCACGACCCACTGCCATCGAGTCCATATGCTGGCTCAGGGCGACCCTATAGGACACAGTTGAACGGCTCCTTAGGGTTCTGGGACTAGCAAACAGCCTCTCCTGCCTCCTGTGGGAAGGAAAGGCATTTCAGGAACCAATGGAGACTTGGGAGCCATGGAAAATACAAGACAGTAGCCACCCATTTGCTTAACCATTGCAGACTTTCCACCTGGGAAATTCTGCCCCTGTGCAGCCCTCTGCGTCCTGCAGACATTTTATTGCTCCAGAAACTCTCTGCCTGGGCATGTGTTTGGGCAATGTGCCTAAGGACCGTGTCACTCATCTTGTGTCCTGGCGACGACGCTGACAGTAGCCCTGGTGGCGCTGTGGGAGAGCCAGCTTGTCACTCCACCTCACCGTGACTCAGAGGCACGGAGTTGGGGTCTGGGTTTATGCATATGAAAGCAGGACCCTGAAGGTGTAAACCCCCAGAGCTGCTATATTTGCCTGCGGGTGCTGGTGAAGAAGCCCCCCATCCTGCCAAAGAACCAACTCTTGAAACAAGTACAGCCAGGTTGCTCCTTGGAAGGGAGGGATGGGTGGACATGTCATCGGGAGAGAAAGCTGTCCCTGGAATGGGACATGGCGCTTCTTAAGGAGGGGCAGCAAGGAAGAGGGCAGAGATGGACTGACACCGGGGCTGCGGCCATGGGCTCCAACGTAACAATTGTGAGGCTGGCACAGGCCCGGGCCGGTTGCATTCTGCTGTACCAATTGGGGCCCCTGAGAGTCAGTCGACGATGGCAGTGGGTGTTGAGAATGCTCATGCGCCCACGTCGCAGATGGCATCAGCTGATCAGAGTGGACCCAGAGTCTTAACTTTATTGAACCACAAAGTCTGGTGTTAGACTGAGTTCCCCACCCCACGTTTATGCAGGTGGTCCAGTCTGATGCCTCTCTTTCCTCCACCAGCCCTTCTGTGATGGCTCCCACCTCTTCCAACTCACTGGCTTGTCCCCACTCAAGTTCAAGGTCCAGGACACTCGCACCGTAGCCCTCTGTACCTGCAAGGCCACCAAGCGCCCCCCGTACTGTGATGGCACCCACAGGAGCGAGCGGATACAGAAGGCAGAAGTGGGTTCCCCCCTCTGAAGGACTGGGTGCTGCCCAGTCCCTGGGGCCTTGGCTGCCAGCTTCTGAGAGGTACCCCCATTTGTAAAGAAGAAAACTGAGCTCAGAACCTAAGGGGGATCACCCAAGGGTCTGGGTACACCTGGACACAGAACCTGGGCTCTCTGGTCTGGGAGCAACCAGAAGCAGGCCCTTGGGCTCAGCACCTGTTGCCGGTGACGATGGCATTAAAAAAACATGCCCACCCAACGTCGTCTTGTGGTCACTGGTGGGAGGCATCTGCCCCAGCCCTGCTCCAGATTGCACCTTGTGGATGGGCCGAGGGCACCCGGTCAGCTTCAGCTAGCAAAAGGGC